AGTTTTCTTTTTTTGTTATGTCCTTGTCTGTTTTGGGGATCAGGGTGATGGAGGTGTCATAGAATGAATTTGGGAGGGGTCTTTCCTTTTGGACCTTTAGAACTAGTTTGAGGAGAAGCAGGGTCAGTTCCTCCTTAAAAGTTTCGTAGAATTTGGAAACGAAGTCATCAGGACCTGGGCTTCTTTGTTGGGAGACTATTCATTACTGATTCAATCTTGTTGCTTGTCTTTGGTCTATTCAGGCTTTCTATTTCTTCCTGATTCAACCTTGGTATGCTATATGTGTCCAAAAATGTATTCATCTCATCTAGATTTTCTTGTTTATTGAGTGTGATTGCTAGCAGTAATGTCTCATGATCTTCTGTATTTCTGTTATATCTATTGTATTATCGCCTGTTCCATTGCTAATTTGATTTATCTGGTTCTTTTCTCTGTTGATTAATCTAGCTAATGATGTGACAATTTTGTTTATTTCCTCAAAGAACCAGCTTTTGGTTTATTTTTTTCTCTATTTTCTGTATAGCTCTTTTATTCTCTATTATATTTATTTCTGCTCAAATCTTCATTATTTCTTTTCTCAGTATTTTTTAGAGTTTTTTTGTTGTCACTTTTTCAGTTCCCTGAGATGTGTGATTAGGTTGTCTATTTGCCACCTTTCTGTTTTTGGGGTTTTTTTTGTTGTTTTTCTTGTGGGCATTAATTGCTATAAACTTCCCTCATATGACTATTTTTGTTGTGTCCCAAGGTTATAAAAACTAATTTGTTCATTATTGTTGGTTTTCATGGCCCTTTTACTTCAGTCTTAATTTCTTCAATGGTTGTAAAGTCATCCAGGAACAGGTTGTTTAGTTTCCATGTGTTTGTATTTTTGAGCATTCTTTCTGTAGTTGATTTCAAGTTTGATTCCATCACGGTCAGAAAAGATGCTCAATGAATTTGTGAAGACTTGTTTTGTGCCCTATTATGTGGTTGATCTTTGAAAACATTCCATATAAGGGTGATAAAAATGTGTATTTTTTGAATATTGGGTGAAATATTCTATAGATGTCTGTCAAGTCTGCTTGATTTATGGTATCATTTAGATCTTATTTCTCTTTATTTTTTGTCTAGATGATCTGTCTAGAAGAGACACTGGGGTGTTGAGACCTCCAGTGAATATTGAGTTATTGTCTATCTGTCCCTTTAGATCTGTCTCTATTTCACGTATTCAGATGCTCCAATGTTGGGTGTGTAGATACTTTTAAGTGTAATATCTTCTTGGTGAATTATTTGCTCCCATTCTTATCTCTTCTTGTCTACTACTTCTTTTAAATTAACAAATAAAAATTATTTATATTTATTGTGTGCAACAGGTATTTTTAAATATGTACACATTAGTAAATGGCTCAGTCAATTAAACTGACATATATATTACCTCATAGACTTATTTTTTTGTGGTGAGGACACTTAAAATCTATCCTCAGCAATTTTCAAAATACAATATGTGTTATTTACCGTAGTTACTATAGTTGAACAATAGTGCTCTTGAAATTATTCCTCCTAACTAAAGGAAATTTTGTATCTTTTAACCAACAAGTCCCCAGTCCTCTACCCAACCTGCCCCTGGTAATCATTATTTGACTCTCCTTCCTTGAATTCAATGTTTTTAGATTGCACATCTAAGTGAGATCATGTGGTATTTGTTTTTTGGTGCCTGGTTTACTTCATTTAACATCATGGCTTCTGAGTTTACCCATGTTTTCACAAGCAACAAGATTTCCTTCTTTTTTAAAGGTAGAATAGTATTCCATTATGTATTTATACCACTTTTTTTATCCACTTATCCATTGATGGACACTTAGGTTGATTTTGTATCTTGGCTATTATGATTAGTGCTACAATGAACCTGAAAGTAAAGATATCTCTGTAACATACTGATTTCATTTCCTATGAATATACACTTAGTAGTGGAATTGCTGGATCATATGCTTGTTCTATTTTTAACTCATTTATTTTTTATTTTCTTTTTTTCCACTTCTGTTTAACAACACTAAACTGCTTTGAGTTTCTTGCACATATCATACTTTCCTAATTCACAGAATGCCTTCCTCCCAATCTTATATTGCTTTTTAAAGTTCATTGTTGGCTTAATTTGCTCCAGGAAACTTTCCTCGACTTTTTGCTCCCATCTCTATGGATCTAGGTCTCATTTTCTATGTTCTCATAAATCTAGGTTCTTATGTTCATCACTGAACTTAGCACATTGTTTGAAACATCCTCCCTGACTAGACTGTGTTTCCTTGAGGATGAGGAATATCATATGTCTGGTTCATCCTTGGATCTCCTGTAGTTGACAACACATAACAGATACCTGGTAAATGCTTGGGTGAAAGATCCAGTAAGATCCAGGATACTATATTGGCTTCATTTGCTAGATGACACCAAAGACATTTTAGATTTCATATATTCAGTAACCTGTTGAGTACTGCCTTAAGAAGTAAAACATAACAGATATAACACATAACAAAGATAGTATAACTGCCTTTTGGGAATAACATACTTAAAATTTTGTAATATTTTATAATAGGTGCTATGCTAGAGGTATCTGAAAGTATTTTGAAATTCAGATGAGTAAGACTGAATAAGTCTGCCTGAAGAATTAAGGTGTTACTGAGCAAGTGATAATTTAATTAGATTGGTTGGCAATAAAATAAAGGTTTTAAGTGGCATTGAAGTCAGATAAACTTGACTTTCAATCCTAGCTATCTATGTGTTCTTGAGTGAGTTATGAATCTCTCTGAGCTTCACTGTTCTTATCTATCAAGGGGCAAAAATAAAAATCATTCCTACCAGGACCAACAGATGGCGTAATGATTATGTCTCTGGACTCCATGTAGTCCACCGCAGTTCAAGTACCAGATGGGACAGCGTGAAATTCACTTCAGATGCATGTACATGCATGGCCAAAATCCCAGGAGGAGAATGAAGGAGAAAGAATTGTAGTGTGGCCATCCTCTCTGGAGTGTGTGTGTGGGGAGGGGGGGAGGGGTGGTGGTGGTGATTTCTCACTTTCTGCCTCCTGTCTCTCTAGCAAGTGCATGTACCCTAGAGCAAAAATCTCTCTTAAAAAAAAAAAAATCAGTCCTGTCTCATAGGATTACATGAGTATTAAGTGAGATAATACATAAAAAACACTCAGTCATTGGTAACTATTATTTTAATGCTATAACTAGAACTTGAAGAGTATGTTATAAGGAGTAAATCTGAAAAGGCAGGGGAGAAATTCTAGAGAGGAGGGTGGCATCAGCATTAAAAAAAGTATGGATGGTATAAAACCCATGGTTTATCTGTGAGGAGTGACAACTATTGAAGCTGGAATTCACTTCAATCCGATTATCGGGCAATCAGAACCATTGATCTTTAAAGAATACTTTGCACAGTCTGGTGGAAGTGATAATGAATTTTAAGAGTAAGGAGACTCATCTCCTAGTCCAAGTTCAACTATTATTTAGCCTCACTGGGCTTTAATTATAATAATAATTTAAAAAATTGAAATAGAGAAAGATGGCTGCCCACTAATAAATCTCTCTCTTTTATCAAATGAGATGAAATCTTAATTTTTTTTGTTTTTTTTTTTTCTTTTTTTAAGAAAGATTTTTTACTGTAGAATATGTGTGCTCACTGGAGAGATAGAGAAAGACAGAGAGAGAAAAAATTAAAAATCACCCCCCCCAGGGGGATGGCCACTCCACAATACCTTCTCCTCCATTTTCCTCTCATGATTTTGGGCATTCACACATACGCATCCAGCATGAGTTTCAAGCCTTCAGATCCGGGACTCTAACTGTGGTCAGCCACGTGGGAGTCCAGCTATGTAACCGTTACATCATCTGCTGGTCTTAGCATTCTCAATAGTTTTTTGTTTTGTTTCGTTTTGTTTTGTTTTTAAGAGGTTTTTTGCTATAGGGTGCGTGCTCTCACCAGACGGACAGAGAGACATAGAGACAGAAAGCAAGAAATCACCCCCCAGGGGGGATAGTCATGCCGCAATCCCTTCTCCTCCATTCTCCTCTCAGGATCTTGGGCACGCATGCACACACGCCCGGCATGAGTTTTAAGCCACTGGGTCCGGGACACGAACTGCGGTTGACTACGTGGGAGTTCAGCGACATAGCCATTATGCTAACTTCTGGTTTCCAGCATTCTCAACAGTTTTTAAAGCTACTGTTGTGTATGACTAAAACTGGCTCAGGTAAAACTTTTTGTCATCTCTGGACTAGATATTTATCAATTTTTTTTAGCTCTGCTAAATAATACCAGATATTTTAGCTAACTGAACATTTTTATGCTGTACTGTAATAGCTGTATCTACACTGATATTTTCTTTTTTGAGAGAGATTTTCACTGTAGGGCGCGTGCGCTCGCCAGACAGACAGAGACATAGAGACAGAAAGCGAGAAATCACCCCCCAGGGGGGATGGTCGTGCCGCAATCCCTTCTCCTCCATTCTCCTCTCGGGATCTTGGGCACACATGCACACGCGCCCGGCATGAGTTTTAAGCCACCGGGTCCGGGACACGAACTGCGGTCAACTACGTGGGAGTCCAGCGACATAGCCATTACGCTAACTGCTGGTTCCTTACACTGATATTTTTTAATTGCTTTAAATATTAAAGCATGAGGTCAGCAGGTGGCATAGTAGTTAAGGTGCTGGACTCCCACATGGTTGGCCATGGTTCCAGTTCCAGACCTGGTGGCTTGTTTTCTCACTTTCCTTCTCTTTCTTTGATCAAATTGAAAAACAATAATAATAAGTAAAATTTTTAAAAATAATTCTTTATAAAAAGAGTAAAGCATTATTAGACTTTAACATATACTTAACATTACATATACTTATGTTCAAGTCTAATATGGTAACAAGCATGTGTTTTCTATAAAGTTGCTATAAATTCAATTAATGTTGAAAAATTATTCATGAAAGCTCAAAATTTAATTTGATTTGTGGTTTTATTTCATTTCAGATCTGAAAATTCATCTCCAAACCACTGATTATGGCAACTTCCTAGCTAATCAAACAAATCCTCTTACCGTTTCCAAAATTGACAACGAAATGAGAAAAAAGCTATGTGGAGAATTTGACTATTTCCGGAATCATTCCTTGGAACCCCTCAGCACATTTTTCACCTACATGACGTAAGTGATGACAAGAAGAGTTCTTAAACCCCATGTGACTGCAAATGACCCTTAACAGTTTTAGAGATGGGTGTTCGGCTGAAGTGAGGCTTAAAGCCTTTTCTATTATTTGTAAGTTTGAATACATCCAAATTTTAGCAACTGAAAAGCTCACTGAGCCACATTTTTCTGGTCGTTTTCATGTATTTATAATTTTATGTGGGTGATGGTAGCCTCCATACAGGTAATGCCTTCAGTTCTCATTGCAAAATATCAAAGTGAGGCTGACGCATAAGCTGTTAGTGCTGAAGGTGAGGATTACACGACAGTTTTTGATTGCTGGGGGATGGGGTTGGCATGTCACAAGTCGTTCTTGAGGTCACATCTACCCTTTTGATTTCCTTATTACAGTATAAGTAGCCCACGTCCAGTTATATGTGTTTTATTGTTGCCTACCACCAAGGGTTTCAATCTTGGAAAGTATGGGCTCTGCATTCGGAAAAAATAAAAATGTTTAAACTCCCAATAGCAGTAAACTGTACTTCTGTTCATCCAGCTGATAAAGTATATTCAGTACTGAGATGGGCCATTTGGAAATACCTTTTTGCCTCCTCAGTTGTTCTAGCTGAGAATCTGAGAGGAAAGACCTGCAATAGATGAGCTGTGTGTTAGGTAGATAAAAGTTAGCTTTAAGGCGCAAAGTTAGGAAGACCAGATCCAGGTCAGGTAGCCAGGGGCTTCACGATATTAGTGGAAAGAAGCTAATGACGAGGAAACTGCTGGGTTGCACAAGCAGAAATCAGTCCAAAGAGAACTCTGCGCCAAACACTGTGCTCAGCTCTAGGCGCAGAAAATTAGAGAAACGTGTGATAAAACTGAGGTGCTGGTTAAGCACTGCATGTAGGGAGCCAGTTTCCACGTGGCTGACTGCACTTCAAATTCTGGCCCACAGCTGCTTGAAAAACACTCCCCATCAGCTTGAAACATGCTGGGCATGTGCATGAGCGCCTCGGAACTGACAAGCTGCAGACTGGAGGAAAGGGATCACGGCATGACCAGATTCTGTGGAAGGTGGTCCGCTCACATGCTCTCTACCCTTCTCTCTCTCATTCTCACATGTGCATGCATGCACTCTATCATGAATAAACAACAGAAATTTTACTTTATTCATTTATTTCTTCCGTAAATGAGAGGTGGTGAGGGTTGAGGGGAGACAGAGAGGAATCACCTCCAATGGAGTCTTCATGCCATAATCCACTTCCAGCTTCAGTCGATAAGAATCACAGGCACATACATGTATGTGTGATATGCACAGGGAGATGCTGGGATGTGAACCCAGGACTTTCCCATAGGATTCAGCATCAGTGAGCATTGAGTTACCATAGTTGATCATTTCCTATTGGAGTTTTCAACATTTTTAATTGATATGTAAGGACTTTTTGTAAATGAAGTTAGTCCTTCATAATACACATTTCAAAATTATCTTCTTGGTTTGATATAATTTAATTTTATAGTATTTGTTCTCGGTTTGTTGTTGTTTTTGTTGTTGTCATTGTTATAGAAACACTGACTATTATTGAATATAATTAACTATAATCATTGATAGCTTCTAGCTATTTTATTCTCTTCCAGAATATTCTGCAGTCAGGTGTCTATCCAGCACCCACCAATTTCCATCAAATGCAATTACTTCCTGTCCCATTAGGAAATAACACCTTGGGCAACATTACAGAAATGATTGAGTCTATCCTAATAGAGACAGTCTAATTGTAAGATGGTATAATAAATATAATCTTAAGCATTGCACATTTTATGTGATATAATTACTGTACATGCAAAACTTGTTTTGAAACTTGTGTTGAACAGATATTTTTAAATCCTTAATAGCAAGAAGATCTGGAGGTTTTGTATACTATAATTATACACAGTTGTGTGAAACAAAGGAATGAATCCAATAGCATTTTAATGAAGAGACTATTTAATATAGGCTTTGGTTTTTTTTTTTTTTTTTTCCTTCCTTCCTACTCAACACTTTCCAGTAGCATTTTAGCTTCTCTTTTGAAATTAAGCCATCTTCTTAAAATAATCCCTTAAGTATCCAAAGTATCCTACCCCAGGGACTGTAAATTCTCTGAACATAGGATGACCAAAGAAATACAGTCTTCAGTACTTATTCAGTAATGCAGTCTGAGGTTAAAGACCACACACTGAAGAAATCTTTAAAGATTCATTCATAAAAGCTAATCAACATTCTAGACTATCCCATGGATACATTATAAACCATCCACAGCTTTGCACTGTGCTGTGCATTCAAGTACTGAGCATGTTGGTTTTCCCTAAAGGGTTTCTCCGGACACAGAACTTTCAGTGCTAAAACCAGAGAAGTTTTTAGTGAATCAGATTAGTTGGTTATCCTATCACCTAATAATAAAAAAAAGAATAGAACTCTGATTTACTGTTTCTGTTCTAATGAAGCCAGCAGATGTTTCCATAAATGATGACAAAATAAGATAAAATTAAGTGGGACCAGCAGTTAGCGTAATGGCTATGTTGTTGGACTCCCACATAGTCGACCGCGGTTCGTGTCCCAGACCCGGTGGCTTAAAACTCACGCCAGGCATGTGTGCGTGCGTGCCCAAGATCCCAAGAGGAGAATGGAGGAAAAGGAATTGCAGCATGGCCATCCCCCCTGGCAGGTGATTTCTCGTTTTCTGTCTCTCTGTCTCTCTCTGTCTTCCTGGCTAGCACACGTGCCCTATAGCAAAAACCTCTCCAAAAAAAGAAAAAAAAAAAAAAAGGTAGAATTAAGTAAGTCCTACAATAGAGGCTTGAACAGCTAATCAGAGGAACCCAGAAAAATTCATTTTGACTTTAAAACAGTTTGCAGGGAACATAGAATTCGAGTCAGTATTTTAAGTGGGTTATAGATTGAGGCCATAGTGGCATGAGCAGAAGAGTACTGTATGGGAAGGCCTGAGGTTTGGATCCCAAACCATTCTGAACATACCTGGAACACCCACCTCTGTACCCATAATCCTGGTTAGCTGGGAGGATTGATGCATGCCAAGACTCTTGCAGGTCTGTGTGTGTGTGTGTGTGTGTGTGTGTGTGTGTGTGTGTGTGTGCATGCATTTCTCTCTCTTTCTGTCTCTCCTATCTCTTATGAAAGAAAGAAACTTTAAAATGGGCATAGATGGAAAGAGTCATGGAAGCAGGAAGGGATTTTGGGTTTGGAGATGACAAATCACCTCAGATACAGCTAGGGTCCAAGCATGAGCTAGAGGAACAAGAACTGGAATAAGAGAGGCTTTGACTCTAGCTCTCTAAGTACAAGTCAGTAAAAGGAAGGCTTTCCGATGCTTTTTGTGTGTTGCAAACTGTACCCTTCACTTAATGGTCACCACCCCACAAGGTGAGAAGCCACTTCCTCCTGGTAGGCCATGTTATTACAGTAACTGAACCCTTCTGCCACCTCTGACTGTGTGGCCAAAGGCAGTTCAACCTAAGTATTTGTTTCTTCTCTAACCAATAAGAGAGTATCTGCTCTTAGGATTATTGTGCACATGGTACTTGGTCAGTAAATGGCAGTTGCTATTACTATGCTTATTTCTTGATATATACTTAAAAACAGAGTGCTCAAGTCCTTGAAGTTAGTAAGTAGACGACCTAAGGTGTGACATCAGTTAACTTCAGATAGCATTCCCAAGGTGCTACTTTTTTTTGTTCTTTTTTGCTTGTTTTTGCATTTCAATTCTTACTGCCTCATAAAATGAGGGGATTGATCTGATCTGTATTTTAGGAAAACAATTCTGTTGGCCTTACAAAAGATGCATTGAATGGGTGGCATGGTGGTTAAGACGCTGGACTCCCACATGGCAGACCACGATTCAAGCCTTGGACACAGTTGCTTGAGAATTACAGCAGCCGCATGAGCCTGCATGCCCAAAATTCTGAGGAGAATGGAGGAGAAGGGATTGCAACATGGCCCTCCCTTGTGGGGAGTGATTTCTCACTTTCTCACTCTGGCAAGTGCATGTGACTTGTGGCATAAACCTAAAAAAATTTTAAAGTAAAATTAAAAGAGCATTGGAAGAGATAGGACTTAAGGCAGAGAAACTGAAGGTGCTTGAAGATGCTATTTGAAAAATTCAGACTGGAAATCTCAACAGTAGAGTTAGAAAACGGGACAAATTTAGATATACGTAAGAGGCTGGCGTAACAGAATTTAGTATCTTGATTTATGACAAATTAGAGAAAGCAGACAATGATTCCTGGGAATCTTGAGGAGTTTTTTCAAGTAAGGTAAAATATATTATTTTTATTTCTAATGATAAAATAAAAGAGGGTCCACTGTAAGTTAGAGAAAGTTGTGTAAATAAACAAATTACTCTTAATTGCACCATTATTGACGTATTTTTATACTTTTTCTACACATTTTGAAAAAAATCATTACCTATTAAGTTAAAATCTTAATTTTTGTATATATACTATCAATGTTTTCTCTATATCATTTTTCTAATATTTTTAAATAACTACAGGCATTATTTACCATAATCTTATAGTGTAGCAATTAAAAGCTGAACATAGAAAGCCAGGTCCCACGTGACTGGTGGTTTGATTCCTAGCCTGGTGGCTTACAAAACATGTTGGGCCCGTGTGTGTGCATGCCCTAAATCCTAACAGGATGAATAAATGGAGGGAAACAAGACTGTAATGTGACGGCAAGCCACTGGGAGATATTTTCTCTTACCATCTCTTTATCTCTCTCTCACAAGCACAGGAACCTTTAGGCCATTAAAAAAAAAAAAACTTAAAAAACCTATATATATATAGTTTTACCCTCTGGTTGTATACATTTTAAATGTATTGACCGTTGTGTTTTTCTTATCTCAAACTCTGCACAGTATTTAATTTGTTAAATTCCATTTTCAACCATCAAATTCCAAACAATATTATGAAATTGTCTATTTATACGACTGTGCTTTTGTAATTCTGAGTCTCTGGTCAAAAGTGTTCTTCTG